TGATATCATGCATGTCCTTATAAGTAGAGGCCCAACAGTGAAGTCTCAAATGGAACAATCATCACCTAATATCATGCATGTCCTTATAAGTAGAAGAAGGGGGACGAAAACCTGCATATCAACATTGATCATTCATGTTGGTTATTGACATTTATAGACAAATAAAAGAATAAGGATGATGTGCAAGTGGAGTTACAGAGAAACATACATCTTAATCTATCAACCTCATTACCATTTTACTTGACCGAATTGACATGTATGCTATTACGACAAGAAAAAAAAACTTTATCCCAAATCTTTTGGATTGGCTGCTTGAATTCCTGTTCTCCAACCTGTAGTCTGTCGCGTTTGTTATTTACTAAATTGTTGAATCCTATATCAATGTGTCTTTTGACATAAAGTTTGGAGATCCAAGTAAAATGTCTTCTTTACTTGTGTATAATGTTTTTGGTGATTCTACGCTATATTTTCTCCTCCTTGTTACTTATATTTTGTGCTAATGGGTTCTTCTTGAAGAGGCCCAACAGTGAAGTATCAAATGTTTTAGCGAATAAACATTTTGCCTCTAAATGTAGCACAGTGGCAGACAACAAGACAGGATATATTTAGCAGTCTGAATTGATCCGTGTTTGAATGAACGAACCAATGCATAATCATGCGTTGTTTTCTTGATAAAGAAAAGGATCTTTGGCTTGGCTAATCTAAACTTCGTACATGGGAAACAGTAGAAACCTAAATCTTGTAAGTTTGAAATCAACTAACCTTCCACTTCAAATAATCAGCCTTATGTTGTAATGCCTTTGGCCTAAGTACCTATTAAATGAGTTCAAGTTAACAAATGTTTGCCTATGATTAATGTGTTAATACCATGTGAATCCTGTGTGGTGTCTGTCTCTAGACTTGATAAGCATTTCACACTAGTTAACACTCATCTTCCAGCCCGATAGATTTGAGTAGGAAATCAACAGATGTTACATTAGTTTCACAAGTTTACACTATCTTTAAGATGTTGCCATAGTATAGCATTTAGTCGTTGCAATAGGATCTACAGTTCTTTTTTCCATCCTCCACATTCTTTTTCTCTAAAACTGACTCAAGTAGCATAGATTAATTCTCTTACCATAACATGGAATCTGAAGGAACTTCGAAGGTAGGATATTTCCATATGCTGCTGTGATACAAAGTTCTGGATTTAAAGCCCTCAAGTCTGCCAAGAAAGGTTCCTGCACAAAAAGTGAATAAAACTAAAGGACCATTTATAAATATTGTGATTGCATAAATAAGGAGCACATGCATATGTAATTTAATAAGGGTGGAAGGAAAAATGTCAGACTCTTGTATAATTAAAACGTAAGCTAGCTTGTAGAATCAAATAAAAGATTTCAATTGAAGTTCAACAAAAAAGGAACTGGATAATGGCTTAAAACATGAAACTCATAAAGGAAAAAGAGAAGAAAAGAGAACGGGAGGGGGTTGGACAAGGTACAATCTGTGTATAATTAAATTACAAAGATTTATGAACGGTAAAAGCTAATATAGATTAGATGATGAGATGCAACATATGATATGACAAAAGCATTATCAACTAGGTAGAGCCTGTAACTAGTGGAAGTAATTAAAAGACTCAGGTCCAAGAATTGAAGTATTATTAAAAAGGACAGAAGCATATATGAAGTATTAATATCTGCAAAATCAGATATCACTAAACAATTTATAGATGCAATTATTATTCTGTACACAATGGTTAAGAAGGACAAGATCAATTACTGTACTTCAAAAAGAAATAAGTAGGGAACAGAAGACAAGATCAATAACTGTATGTGGAAGAAAGAATACTTGGGGAGTATCTGAAATGAGAACTTGGAAGTGTAATGCATCATCAAAGTTTTGTACTGCCTTACGTTTTAAATCTGGATTATAATGCTAAACTGATCCCACCGAATATCAAGTGATATACGAGTTGGAAGTATTGCTTACTGTAGAACAGAAACTCTGGATGTAGGAACACCTGTACCATGCATAAGCAACTACTCCAGTTTAGCCTTACCCTTACTTTCATCTTCTCACTGGATTAAGGGTGAGCACGAATGTGCTTCAAATGCATCATGGATAGCCAACCAGCAGCTGGATTAACTTCAAATGCATTAAGGGTGAGCACGAATGTACTTTCATCTATGAAGGTGTAGTCAACTAGGCATCAAACATATTCGTGGAAAAGTGTTTGGCTTAGAGTAAAGATTTTTAAATGGGTTAACATCCACCTACAACAGATATCAATGAAAGAAACCACAGTACAAAAATCACTAAAAGAGATGCATTATAACACAATGATCCTAGACATACCTCCCCAGCTTTACCAGGTGTGAATATCAGATCTTCAGGGTAACCTCTCTGTATGGCATGATGTGCAACAGGAGAAGGCATCAGCTTCCTTCCTCTATCTCTTCCTGAAGGTGGCTGTGTAACAATTGCTGCAAGCTAAAGAAAATTATTTAAAAGTTCCGCCATCAGTATGCTTAGCTGTGCAACAAAAATAGTACGAAAGAGTTTGAAATTAATCAATCAATCACAAAATAATACAAGTTTCAGTTGAAAGGCCAAATCCACTGCTTAACATTAATTAAGACATGATTTAACTTACATGTGGTAACCAAAAGAATACAAATGATCCTCAGCAGCATTGTGCTATACATGCAGTTGCTTTTACAATAAGAAGGAACTTTAACCATTTATGACAGGGCATGTTTCTTTGATAAACTCCAAAACATCATCATAGATTGTAAAGTAAAAGAGAAATTAAAAAACTTGAGAGATATTTGTTGAAGTGTTTACTGAAAGAAAGTGAAACAAAATGCAATTATATTGACATCAACTGAATTGAAAGTTCTAAAGGAAAGATGAATCAGGGGAAAAATAAATATAACTCGCTAGAAAATGAAATACTATACTTTCACATTGCTTAACAACAATGTAGAGATTATTCTAAGAGTAAGCCTCATCCATATCCCAGTATTCATTAAGATTCATGGCCATATCTGAAGGAATTAAGATAGACATGCATATCTGAAGGATTCTTGTTGGGTCCCTCCCACCATCCCTCCCTGTGTGAATAAGGTGGTTAATCATTTTACTAAATGAGTTATCTATCTGCGATTATTCTAAGAGGAAGCCTCATCCATATCAGCAGTATTCATTAAGATTCATGTGCATATCTGAAGGAAATAAGATCCACATGCATATCTGAAGGATTCTTGTTAGGTTCCTTCCACGCTCCCTCCCTGTGTGAATAAGGTGGTTAATCACTTTACTAAATGAGTTATCAAGATAGAGAAGGTACACTCTACTAGTCATATCAGATTAGTGGGTCTCACCACGCTCTGGATCTAGATAGCTCATTCAGAGCAATCTCATAACCATTGAAGCCTATATATACATATAAATATACATATTCATATACATATATAGATATATATACAAACATATATATATAGAAATATGGGTATCATTGATAATGAGGTGGCCACATCTCAACCTCCCATCTAAAGTGGGGACCATTTTTAAGTGGAGTGAGTAATTAAGTGGGGGACCATTTTTAAGCAAGAGATGAGAGATTGAGATTGGGTCCTCTCACTAACAAGGACAAACTTTATCCCTGGTACAAACAATGCCCGTTTTTCTCATATATGGAAATGGTGTCCTCCACTTATTTACTCATCCCACTTGAAAGTGATCCCACTTTAAATGACAAGTTAAGATGTGCCTGTCTCACCACCATGGATCAAAGAAAAAATGGACCAAAGTTAGTCTTTGGTATCAAGAAAATCCATCTACGTGTGTATATTTATGTATGTATGGCTTGATAGTTATGAGTTAGTAAGCTCATTATGTTAATGAAGCTACTTGTCAATAATGGGTGGTGAGACCTACTCATCTTGTGTGCTTGCAAGAGTCTCACCACATGTGCATCTCTTTGGTAGCTCATTTAGCAAAATGAATTATCACCTCATACTTATTATATCTATACATATGTATATATAATTTGATATATATGTGTGTGCAAATATGTAATGTAAATGTATGTACATATATAATTAGATATATACATATATACATGCACACAGTGAATTTTATCAGAGGTTGCAAACCCACATGACTTCTCCACTATTAAAATGACATGATAGTTGCTTGAGCAACTGATCCCAGTTTGTTCCTTGCGAAGTCGCTTATCTCGAGCTGTGTAAGAGATAATTTTTATGTCCTATCGCATCACCTCTTATCAAAGATAAACATGATAAATGTTCCTTAACTTTGTTTGTTCCTATATCTTTTACCAACTCATATCCTGCAGCTTCTACAAATCTCAAAGAAACTTGAATTTTTTATTCTCATAACATGACCTATTTGACTTTAGCAACTCTAACTCATATCTCTCTGCACCATCATGCTTTATTACATTCAACGAAGTGAACGAGAGACTTTCATCTCAAGCAACTCATTTCTTCACTTAGAATATTTTATTCAAGTGAATATTTTATCTAGCTATCATTTTTCTCCATTAAAAATTCATTATTCGAACCCCTTTCCCCATGTGAGTTGTCCCCTGAGATCTTTTTTATATTCTATCTCTAATAAAAAATTTCATGACCACCTACTTTATAGCTTGCGATCATAGCAGCAAGCTTTTTCATAGCTTGCTCAAATCATCATCCCTTCACGCGCTCCTGTTTTTCTCATATTCAAATTTTCAGAATTCCCACCAATGACATGGTCTCCCACTGTTGGAATTCATATCTATAAATAGTCTTATCTTGAGTTCGTTTAACTCATTCCAACCACCTCCATTTTGAAGAGCTATTGCAAATTAAATCCTTCAACTATTCCAAAAGTAACCTTTTCCAAATCAAAGTCGTGACTAAATCATCCTACTTTAAGCTTAGGCAAGTTATTATAGCCTCAAGTTGTAAAATCAAGAGTGCGTGCAATTGTTTGCGAGAATACTTATTCTCAAATCTTGTCTCATTTGAGAGAATCACTGATATATCCTGAGTAAACTAGTGAACTCTTCAGGGTAAAGAGTGGTGAGAAGCTACCAACTTGAGGTTGTCAAGTGTGGTAGGAGATGTCTTGTTATCCAGAAACTTTTGGAGGAAGTTCAAATATAGTGGATTTAAGAAATTCTAATCGAGGCGCTAGGTAGATGGATGTAGTCTAGTTGAAGAGCGAACCACCTTATATATCTCGTGCAAGCTTTGTGTGTTGATTTATCTTTTATATAAGTTCTCTCGATCTTCACTAATATCAGAGAACTATCTTTTTTTGTAAATCTATTCACTCTTCACAGAGGCACTTGCTGGAACTTCCCTTCTTTTCTTAAAGAGAGTCTCAATCCTGTCACTGGATGTTCCTATTGATCTTCCATTTCTCAATTTCAACTATCACACTATCTAAATTCTATTTTACCTCTGATAGCCTTTTTTATCCTCCACAAAATCTAGAAAAATTACTAAATTATCTCAATAACCCTATTCACACCCCCCTAGGGTTCTTACAACCATCACCATTACTATCTCCAGTCAAAACTCCTCCACCACCTTCTCCAGTTGAACCCACTTCCTCCTTGCAATCCTCTCCTCCGACATCCTTACACATACTTAAGCTGGACCCCATTTTTACTTAGCGTTTTTTACCACCTTTTGCTACTAAAGCCCCAAAAATCTTGAGCAATGACTCACCGCTTCTCTCTGCTGTTCACTTTCCACAACCTTGCATGCACATACAATTGGATCAAATTTGAGGTGGTTTTGCTTGTGAATTGGATATAATATTGACTTTACAAATTAATTCTCATTGCATTATAGATTTATTTATAGATGTAAGATGGCACCGAACTATGCTATTTACACTATATATAATAGAATTATATATAATAGAATGGTATTGAATTATATCTATGAGATTCTACGTCCACGACTTTCTGTTACAGTATCCACAAATCTGTATACCATTATATTGATACTTGTATTAGCACTTGCGAAACCTAGTTGTTTATAGCTAAAAGCATAACCATAACCAATAAGAAAGATAGGAAAGAGAATAGGACATATGAAAAGAAATCCCACGCTTTTACCACTGAAAGTTTCTACAAATGATATGTCATGTGTATTTTATTTGACTAATCAACCGTTGATGCAAAGTTAGGGGCTTCGGATCTAATGAGGACAAGAAATGGCAATAGTTGATTAGTTGATATATTTTTGAATTTTGAAATTTAAAATTTGAATTTTGAATTTTGAATTTTAGTTTAATTGTAATTGAGTGATTTGAGGGATTATTGTTTGTTTCTATTTTTATTGCACGTTGTGTGCACGTAGTTTTTTTTATAAATAAGGTTGTATGAGACTATTGAAAATCAATGAATTATTGAATGAAAAATTGTATTAGCTAAAATCTGGTATGAAGTCTTGAGTGTGAAACCTAGGTCTCGGGTGTGAATCCCTAGGCCGTTCTCTGTGTCCTCTTCCTCTAGTCGCCAAGCATTCCCTCGTCTTCCTCACGTCAACAATCAGTCAAACCCTCCTCTTCCCTACAACCACCAGATCCACACTCAGCTCGCCCCTGATCTCCACCTCCGCACCACCAGCGCCATCATCTCCTCGATCCACACTCAGCTCGCCCCTGATCTCCACCTCCGCACCACCAGCGCCATCATCTCCTCCCAAGCAGCTGCCCTACTCCCACAGTCACCGAGCCTCCTTTCCCAGCAACTGTCGTCTTTATGTACACCAACTGTTTGGCAAAATTTCCCACCAGAGCAATACTACCACTGCCACAACCGCTTACCACAAATCATCACATCGTTATCGTCCCGTCAACCTTACCGACGCCATCACTCTAGTCGCTGCTCAAATCTCCGTCTCGTCGTCGTCGTTCAGTTCATCGTTGTCGTCGCCCCACCTCCAGAGGTCTCTCACGTCGAGTCTGTTCAGACCGACGAATGTTTCGTTTTCTTTCGTCCCTTATTTTTCTGTTGACTTTATTTCGTTAGTTAATTGCATGAATAATACATCTCTAAACTCTTATCATATATTCACTGCTTAAAGTATAATTGTGAGTTGAGAGAAACTGAACATGTGATTGTTAAAACTTGATATTGATTGTAAAACTTATGCAATGATAATGAATATTGTAATTAAATTATTCGAGATTGTGATTGTTTATGACTATCATTGCAAATCTTGTTAAAATCCATCTGTCGCATTAACTGCTTTAATTAATTTCCTACCGAATATTATGAATTTTGGCGAAACGGTGCTTTGTTCAAATTAGATCGCTGATTCCGATAGACCCCCTCCCCCGTTTCGCATCATTTTGGTATCAGAGCATGGTTTTAGATTAGTTGGGTCTTAAAAAAATCAAAAAAATCACTCATCGCATTTAGTTGTTAAAAAAAAATTCAGTCATCTCCTTTAGTTGTTGTG